GTTATCCTTTTCACTCTCCCAAAGTAACAACCCTCCTCCCCCATCTACTGTCCTCCCACCCCCGATATCATGCTTGTCTATTACAATTCCATTGACTCCATTCCTACTCTCTACTCCATGTCCCTTGACTATATGTATATATAATTATAATTGGCATACAATATTATTCAACATCAGCTTCAGAAATACAGTGCGGTGGTCAGGCCTCCACACCGACCATGAAGTGGTCTCCCCTACCAGACATGTGTCCATCTGGACCCCCAAGAAATATCTACAACATTATTGATTATATTCCCCAGACTGTCTTTTCTATCCCTGAGGCCATATTGTAGTTACCAATTTGTATTGTCTCATCCCTTCCCCTTCTCCTTCATCCCCACCCGCTCCCAACTAGCAACCTCAGTTTTTCCTCTGTGTCTCTGAGACTATCTCCGTCCACGTCTCCCATCCATTCAGTTCCTTAGAATCCACGTATAAGTGAGATCATATGGTATTTATCTTTCTCTGACTGACTTATTTCACTTAGCATAATGTTCTCTAGGTCCATCCATATCATTGCAAATGGTACGATTTCCTTCTTCTTTATAGCTGAGTAATACTCCATTGTGTAAATGTACCACAGTTCCTTAATCCAGTAGTCTACCGATGGGCATTTCGATTGTTTCCAAGTCTTGGCTATTGTAAATAGCACTGCAATGAGCATAGGGGTGCATATATTTTTATGAATTAGTGTCTTGGGCTTTTCTGGATAAATACCTAAGAGTGGAATTGCTGGGTCATAAGGTAGTTCCATTTCCAGATTTTTGAGATACCTCTGTACTGATTTCCATAGTGGCTGCACCAGTCTGCAGTCCCACCAGCAGTGCACCAGGGTTCCCTTTTCCCCACAACCTCGCCAGCATTTGTTTGTTGATTTATTGATGATAGCCATTCTGACTGGGGTGAGGTGGTATCTCATTGTGGTTTTTATTTGCATTTCCCTGATGCTAAGTGAGGCTGAACATTTTTTCATTTGCCTGTTGGCCGTCTGTATGTCCTCTTTGGAGAAATGTCTCTTCATATCCTCTGCCCCTTTTTTCATTGGGTTGTTTATTTTTTTGGTGTTGAGTTGCATGAGCATTTTATATATTTTGGATATTAACTCCTTATCAGATATATCATTGACAAATATCTTCTCCTATCCAGTAGGCTTCCTTTTTGTTTTATTAATGGTTTCTTTTGTTATGAAAAAACTTTTAAGTTTGATGTAGTCCCATATGTTCATTTTTTCTTTTACTTCCCTAGCCCACGGGGATGTATCAGTAAAAACATTGCTCAGGGTAATGTCTGCAAATTTAGACCCTATATTTTCTCCTAGGAGTTTTATGGTCTCAGGTCTTATATTTAAGTCTTTAATCCATTTTGAATTTGTTCTTGTATATGGCGTAAGGAGGTGGTCTCCCCATTTTTTTTAACTGCCACATAATTAATGCCTAATTTATTAAATAGAAGACACTGGTTGGATCAAGAATAATAATTGATTTTTCTGTTCCTGAAAGTTGATTTCTATTAAATAATATTCAAACAAAACTA